ATTAAAACCTGCGTGAGCTTATAGCCTAGTGTTTCGGCGTAATCGTGAGGTTGCGGGTTTGAGTGTTTGAGCCTCGGGCCTGATGTTGTGTCCTTGGGAAAGGCATTTTACATGAATTTTTCTCACTTTACTCCAGTTGGTAGGGGTACCTGGCCACAGACAGGAAAAGATGTTGTCACTATGTTAGTGTTTTAGCGCTTATAAAATGGCAACTTGTACTATGTACTTTCCAAGAAGTTGAGGCTGTTTCAGAATGCTATCAGGACTGCTGAAGTAATAGGCTACTGTAGATTGTAAGGCGCAAAGAGCTTGATATTGAGCGGGAATTTGCGCTATACAAAATGATGTCTTATTATTCTAAGCCTTCTTTTTTTCTTGCGAACCTTTAGGGAATTCTCACAAACAGCGGTTCTATGCACAAAATAGAGGCAGTGAAGACTTGCATGCAGCTTCTTGGGTAAAGAAAAAGGTGCTGCTTCCCATTGCTTCTAGATCTAAGTTATTTCGTCTCTTTTTGGAACGAATTTGATACCGTACTTGATACAATGCCAGGAACCCAAAACCATGTCTCTGTAATTAGTTCCAGCAACTCCTTAGGCCACTCTTGAATCAGATTGGTAATCTAAAGATGTGCTGCTACTTTTGCTCGTCCGGCTCAAAGCACCAGGGAACTTTCATAGAGCAAAAACTTCCAGAAATACAATCCTTTGGAAATTTGCCCGGGATCATCTCCAGATTACCGCGGGATAGTCTTACCTCCCAACTCTTTCAACCACTTTCCTCACTTTTACCTGGATTATTCTGACTTTTCAGTGATTTCAGTAGAGCGCATGTTCACAGGAAAAAGCTTCCAGAAACACTAATAAAAGCAAAGGCAAAAAGAACGATTCAACACGGGGTAGTTAGATCGCCGTAAGTGACAGTTGGAGTGTCAATCAATAATGATGCAGAATGTTTTAACAAAATGAATTTTAAAAACATTTCTAGTGTCTACTAAGAAAGATGTCATATGATTAGCTTTGATGTATCTGATTCCTTAGTTTCCTCCAGTGTCTTTCAATGACTTAAATACTCCTTTTTTTAAAAGATTATCATACAGGATCGTATACAATGTCACCTTCAGTAAGTTTCTGAAGCGTATAAGTCAATAGTAAACGTAGTCGAGTCATATTTCTCACAGCTATAAATCACAGGATGCAGTTATTTATCTCTGAAAAAAAAAAAAACACAAAGAGGAAGCTTGCCATTCATCACCCTTCACGCTTTGAAAAAGATTGCGCTCTTTGAACCACCACATGAAAACGAAGAAGTGTTTACTTCGGTACAAAAAACCCTCCAAGTCAGAATGATTAAAGGTTGCACACACACACACACACACACACACACACACACACACACACACACACACACGTTCGCGCGCGCGCATTAAATTATTATTTTCTGCTTACAGGAGCACATCATTTTATAAGCATTATTGCAAAAGGAATATCAGTTATTTTTAGAAATTCTCATCTGCTCCATTTTTATGTAAAGAATACTTAAGTGTATCAAATTAATCCCAGTACCAACGGTTTTGAAGTGAATGCTTTTTCCCATTTTCAATCAAAGTATTAGTAATAATAGAGAGGGAGAGGGAAAGACAGAGACAGAGACAGAGACAGAGACAGGGAGATAAGGAGGCAAAGAAAGAGAGACAGCGACACGGAGAGAGAGAGAGAGAGAGAGAGAGAGA